TTGACCATTATTCTATTAGACATTTACTTAACAACTGACTTTACTTTACTTTTCTTCACAGATATAGTCCTACTGTGTATATTTTTAAAGTTTCCTAGCACGTCTTAAAATCAAGAAGGCCTTGTGACCCCCTCTATGAACTTTGGTGACTCCTTGTGGGGGTCCCGTGTGTGTGTGTATACCAGTGAAGTCGACGGGCTGCTTGCGGTCTCCATCGATGAACAGCTTCAGAGTGGGGAAGCTTCCGATGTCAAACTCGTCAGCCAGCTCCCTGTCGTCTATGGCGTCCAATTTGGCCAACCGCATCACAGGTTCCTCCTTCTTCAGTTTCCCTGCAGCCTCTGCATACACTGGCTCCAGCTGCTTGCAGTGACCACACCAGGGAGCATCTACACACAAATGCACACATAGATAGTTAATCTCTTTTTTAGAAACACTGGAAATCAACCAAAGCGGCAGACATGCTCTCCTCCACAGGCCTCTGTTCTGTCCAGTTCTTTGTGTTGCTCCTATCAGCAGCACATGCAGAGATACACATGGAAATAAGCCGCTGATAGCAGCAGTGGCAGTTGGGCCCAGCTTTTCTCCCCTTTGCTCGTTTCCGTGTCGTGACCTCTCCACTCGCAGTGCTGAGCTCATCTGTGGGAGAGTTGAACCAAGAGAACATCTGGACAAGGAGAGGCCACATGTATGCACGTTTGTAAGATAACGTCTCCGTGCTCATGAGGGCTTCAACGGAAAGCAGTGGAGGAAAGCAATTTTACTTTTACTTAGTGAGTTATTCCTGACGTTTTGGTAATACACCATGGTCTTCTTTAGGAAAGTACACATCTGTGACACCTTATAACACAAACTGGTCAATCATAATCCATTTCAGCCCAACATATGTTGTCACTGATGTTTGTTGCACTAAAGAGCAACACAAACATCATATATATTGTCTCAAAAAAGTAATTAGAAAGAGTTTAATGTCACCTCTCGGGCACAAAAGTGTTAATTTATCATTCGCAGTGATCACTTCCCTGTTTGTACATCAGATATAATTCATTAATGTCCACTTACAGAATTCGACCAGTAAATACTGATTCTCGCTGAGAGCTCTGGCAAAGTTGTTGATGTGGAGAACCATCACATCTTGCTCCTCCTCTATCTCTGTTGTTTTCTCTTTCTTTGGTGCCCCTTTGGTTTCCTCCTTCTCCTCTTCTGTGTCTCCTGGAGTCTCTTCTGCTGATGTCTCTTCTTGTGTTTCTTCCTGTTTGTCAGTGTCGGCGTCTGTGTCATTGGCCTGGATGCAGGAGACCCACAGCAGCAGGCCCAGCAGAGTTATGGACAAAAGCGTGCGTGTCCTCATGTTGGCGTTTTGTGTCTGAGTTGCTCTGGTACCTCCACTCAGGTATGGGACCCACAGAACATGCGTCACTGAAAGTTTGTACCTTTTATGTGTGCAAGATGGAGAGTGTGTGTCGAAATTTAACTGGCCTTCCCGCTCATCCAATCAGACGGTGCAAACTGCGGAGGACTCTTTCCAGTCTAAACCAATCAAATGGTGCCCTGTAGATTCCGAATTTGGAAAAAACCGCACAGTTAAGACCTCATCACTGATTCTCCTCTTTATCTTTCTTACTTCCCTTATTCATCTTTTTGTTATTTCTTTATTTTATTATTATTTTCGTCGTTGTCTTTAGCTTTCAGACTCCGTCACCTACCAGATGGTAGCATGTGTGCTTTAATTTTTTGCTCCACTCTCTTATCAGACCCTCATTTACCTAAAAACACTGATAGCATAGTAATTATGTGGATTTCTAGCTCCCTCTCTTCCTCACTTTTTATCTTGTTATTACTGTTTACTTAAACTACAGCAAACACTCTCCCTTTTTTTCTCCTTTAAACATCTCATCGACACATCACTGCATGGTACGTGTTGGTGCAGGGAAGGTTATATATTTGAATCCCCTTTAAAGGGTCAGTTAACCAAAATTAGTGGCGTCGGGTCATGCTGATCGTTTGTACTGATGTCTGCCTCAACTACTCAAAACAAAAGAGGTAAAAGTGAATAATCTCATCACAAAGGTTCAGTTAGTAGCTGCTTTCAATTACACCACATGATCTTCCTCAGCAGATAGAGTTTGTCCAGTTGACATGGAATTGTAAACATTAAAACAAATAATAATTTAAAGTATTCTAAGGACTTATTTTTCATGTTGGCTCAGAAGTTGAGATTGAAAGTCAATTCTTGAACCACCAAAAATTCCTTTTAGTATCTGAACCTTTTTAAAGGTCCCGTGTGTAGGATTTAGTGGCGTCTAGCAGAGTAGTCCCTCGCTTCACCCTCCCCTTCTGAGCACAAAGAAGAAACTAAAGTGGCTGTGAAACAAGCGATAAATGCAAACGCTCCTATCAAGAGCCAGTGTTTAGTTTGTCCATTCTGGGCTACTGTAGAAACATGGTGGTTTCATAGAAGCCAACCTGCAACGTCTGTAGATATAAAAGGATTATTCTAAAGTCACAAAAACACAATGATTCTTATTTTCATGTGACTATACACCAATGAAAACATAGTATTTATATTTTCTTCCTAAATATGTGAAAAAATGCACTGCAAAAAAATAAATCTGTCCTTTTAAGTAATTTCTGTGTGTCATTCATTCCTCAGAAACAAAAACAACTTCTCAAGCAATATGTAACTTGAATATAAGACACACTTGAAAGGACACTCAGCTTCACTGATGGGTGCAGTAAGAAATGTTCTCCGTTGTACCTGTAACCCAACAGTGACATCATGGTGTCCCGAAGAACACCAGTCACTGCAGTACTACTATCTATAGCAATATATTTATATATTTGCAGTAATATGAACTGGGTGTCTGTTGTGACATTCCCAGAAAAAAAGGTGTACTCCAATAAGTTAATGCAAACCCAACATTTCCCACTGCTGCGGCTTGTATGTCAGTAAGATTAGCACTGACAAGACAATGCTAATTTTCAGCGGGTCAGTTTGAACTATTGCAGAGAGTAATGGAGCCACAGTGAGCTGTGAGAGGCAACCAGCTCCGTACATTGTGGCCTGCTATTTGCGAACTCCTGCAGCATTAATCAGATCACAGAATGATGTAAAAGATCAATTATTGCCTGACTTTGACCTCCATAATTCTGTAGCATTAAACCACATTTAACCACCAGAAACTACAGTTGTTTTCAGGATTGCTTTAAACTTGAAAACTCGAGAGAATATATCAACAAAAATTTCAAATGGATTTTAGAAAATTGCTGAAACAATTCAATTTTGCATCACAAACAGGCTGAAATATTCTCATTGCAATGATAAGTTCACTTACATCTTATATAAAAAAAAACCTTAAAGGACTTAAATACAAACTAAAATAACTCTTAACAGTAGTGAAATAGTTCACTGTGAGCTCTGAGGATCATTCAGAGTAACTGGCAAACTGCCTCTGGAAAGGCAAGTTGCTAATGAATGAATTAAATGTATTTGCTGAGCCAACCTGAGGAAACTGCAGGCGAAACGTGTTGTTCACTCCTAAATAAACCACAGTCCGGTGTGCGCTGGTTATTTTGGATGTTTTACTACATGGTCCTGCAACCTACCAGCACCTGACTGTTGTTGGCGGTGCATGGGGAGTTTTGTTTTTGGTTAATTAAATGTATTTCGATTCTATGAGCACCACAAGCTAAATCACAGTCTAAGGCAAATATATCAAAACCAGGACATACAAAAACGCAGCTGTTTGCAGACAGAAAATAGTTTTTTTATAATTGAGATGAACTGACCCTTTAAAACAAACATCATATAATGATAGGCTGTGTGTCATTTTTCTTTTTATTAAACTTTAAAGCACCTATAAAAGTTTAAACAAACATTATTAAGTACTTTTCCAGCCGTCAGTCCCAGCAGGCTGTTGTGTTTAATGCTGCATGTGTGTGTTCTCTGTCAGTGTGTGTGTGAGCTCCGGGTTTGGATCCCAGTTTGCCAGCAAGTCACTGAAGTCGGGCTGAGTGCTGTCGAGGGTGTGTGCGTTGTGATGCGGGAGCGGGTTGTAGTGCATGTGTGCGTCAGCGTCCGTGTGTGTGCCGCCCTGTGAAGGTGTGTCACTGCTTGTGTGTGTGACGTCAGGTGTGTTACTGAAACCGACCAGAGAGCAGCAGGGGATCGGCTCAGTCCAGAAACTGAGCGGGAGATGCCGCTTGATCATCGGCCGGCTGCGGCCCTGACTCTGGCCCCTGTGGTCAAACAGTTCAGCCAGGGGCCCCAAACCAATGTTGCCCTTAGCAACCCTGATTCCTAGATCATCAGCACAAGTCACAAAGCTGTTTTCTTGCTCCTCTGGACTTCCTGCTCTTGCGATTTTTAGCAGGTCGTCATAGTAACGCAGTCGCCCACTAGTTGTCACAGAGACCGAGTCGCTGTAGATGTCACAAGCTTCTTGATCACCAGAGCAGCGACCAAAATACCGCTGGACGTCACGGCTGATGACATCTGCAAACCTCAGCAGCTGCTTGGTCACGTCCAAAGCGTAGTGGGAGGGGTTTAAGAAAACGTCCTCTGAACATTCCTCCTCTTCCTCCTGAGCTTCAGATTCTTCATCGTCATCCTCCTCCTCCTCCTCCTCCTCCTCCTCCTCCTCTACTTCTCTTTCCTCTTCATCTTCCCTCACCTCTGGTTTTTCCTCCAGTATCTCCTCTTCGTCTTCCTTGCAGAGAGAGTGCTGGAAAATAAGGGGGAAGTAGGCCGGAGTCGGGGCCTGGACGAGGAAGTTTCTGATGATCCCTGCCGCCATGTTGGTTCATTAACGCTGGAGAGATGGTGACACAAAGTAAGAGTGGATTAGAAAAAGCCGGTTGTTGACAGGATTAAAAATTAGAAATTGGTTGAAAAGGTGGAAGTTTTATTACCAAGTGAAGTGCTAAATAGCTGCCAGTGTTCAGGTAAATCTGTGTTGAAGTCTCAGGAAAGGTCTGGCCTGGGTCATTGATGGAGCCACTTTTCTGTATGTGTGTGTGCATATGTAATACTGGATCGTCAGGATTGTCACTGTATATATACCTCAGCACGCGGCTACAGACGTGTGTGTCACCCGGAGGATGAGGCAGCTTCCAGAACAAATATTTGCGTGCCGGATTGGCCAAACACACTTTGTGTACTTTATCACTGGGCAACCGGGGAGGGGGTCCAAGGCTAATGGATCCTCTGCTAGGGGATGATGGAGAGTTGTTATACACACACACGCACACACACATCATTGCTTTTTTCCCCCCGTCTCCTGTTATCAGGCTAGTTAAAGGATAAAAGAGCATGAAATCAAATCATATGCTGTTTTGACTTCTAAAGGGGAACACTCTGAACCGACATCAGCAGACTAGGATACAGTACAAACCTCATCAGACACGGCTCACCTCACAACATGACGCACTATAATGTTTTTTAATAGGAACACGACATCAGACTGACAAGGGTTCAATCACATCAATCTCCTGAACTACCAATCCTGGTCTTAAAGGAGATGATCGTATGCTTAGACACATCATCAATTTCAGCTGTGGCTGTGGACGGACTTGCAGAACAGAACAAAAAAAATCTTTGATAGTTGCTGGAAGACAGATGCAGAGATGACAAGAGATCAAAACAAAGGCTGCGTTCACACTGCAGGCACAAGTGACCAAATCTGATTTTGTTTTTGCTCGTATGTGTCTCAGATCTGTTCGTTTCATGACAAATCTCATTGAATCTGATCTTCTCATTTCTGATACATGTATTATTTTTTTCCAGTGTGACCTCAGTGTGAACATTCATATCATAATTCATATGACTTTTATGTTACTCCACATCCACATTCATCACGTGGGGTCACTTCAGACTACAAACAAAAACAAAAAAAAATCAGATCAGTGCAATAAATCAGAATTGAGTGCTAAAACTTGCAGAGTGAACGTAACCAAAGAGTCCTCAATCAATTGGAATTTTGTATCTTTGATTCCCATTAAGCCTAGAAAAGCTCAGGTTATAGGATAAGGCTTGTATTATTTTCTATTTTTCTTATTGTTGATGAATCTTGTAAAAAGACAACAAATGTGTTAGTCCATCTCTTGATACTTTCCAGCTACCCCACCCATCCCATCTGTACCCATCAGCCCCAAGCCAATTACATCTGACTGAAAAACCTTAAAAAACAGGTCACAAATATATTAATTAATTTAATAAAAATGCTCAGCCATGTCCTTAAACAGCTGGGCACTGTAGTTTTTAGCAAATGTTACACAAACAGTTGGGGACTACTTTTAGCTGTGGATAAATACACTTTCGGTGCTCTAGTGAATGTTTATGGCAGCAGGAAGGTTAAATTACAGTGCCCATGTTCATTGTAATGAAGGAACATGTCAGTCAGTGCAACTCTGAGGGGAGATAAATAAATAATAACGGGTATTAACGGGTGACTGCATGTCTCATTCAGTCGTCCAACACTTTTACACACACACATCGGCTCATTTGCAGCAATTGTATGACGTTGATTGCATAGCACCCAATCCCATGTAACGCCCCACTAGTTGGAGGATGCGTCGTTTTTGTGAGTGTGAATCAAATAGAAAGCAAGCTGTCAATACAGAGAGAAATAATACTCATTGTATTGAAAATGCCTTATTTATGATTAGAATAATGGGTGTTTTAGTGACTTTAACAGATGTGTGATTTTACTGCTTTCATGGGAGCTCATCTCTCATTGCCTCCCACATAACTGGAACACTGCTTTAAATATTTTTGGGCAATAATGAAACTCTCTGACACAGAGGAATAAGATTTATCAGGTTGTAGCTACACAGACAATATTCTCCTAATGAATCCTTCCTGTCTAATCTATTCCATCGTCTTCCCTTTTGCCCTGAAACAAAACAAAACAAAAAACAACCTTTTGGTGACAATGTAGAACAGCTTTGTTATGCTTCCCTAAAAAAAAGAAACGTATGTATATAACTGTAATTTTTTAGGTGATTTCAAAGTCAAAGGACTAACTAAAGGAGACACATCCACATTTATTTTATTTGTCAATTTATTTCTAAAGTGACATAAAGAGTTTTTTATTTGCACAGCAGATCGGCTGTAAAATTATCTGGATGTAAATTACAAGCAAATGTAAAATTCAGCAAATATAGACAGTAAATTATCCAACAATAAATAAATATTTAGACACATTTCTGTCAGTTTGTTCACTTCTTCTGAAACTACTATATAATTTATTATTTATTTCTTAGAAACCTTAATAAATTAGTGCAAACTTACCAAAATGTACATCTCAAAATAAGTTAATTTCCCTTAACTAGTATTAAACTTACTACAAAATAAACTTCCCAAAATGTTAATAAAAAATTTAATTTGTAAAATAGGTTTTTATTATATTCTGTATCTCCAAGTTCTTCTCTAAAGCTTGAGCATATTTAAAAATGTTTATTACAATTAAAATGAAGTGTGACGTTACTTTAGATAACACAGAATAAACTAATGCCAGCTCGTAGTGTGTTACTATACAACATCAGGCATCGGTGCCTTTGTGTGTATATAACGTGTGTCAATCATGAAAGCAATGATTTGAGTCTCGCTGATTAAATCCTGCACTTCACCAGATTTTACTGACCTTTGCAGACATCTGTAACTCTGTAAATATGTGCATGTGCTTCTGTTTATATGTGCATGTTGAGCATTAATGTGTGTTTGTGTGTTAGTGTGTGTGTGTTATCAGGACACCCTGACTCCCCTGGCCTGCCTGTCATCAGTATCCAGGCTTCTGTGTTGATTTTAGGACTAAAGATCAATAGCGGCAATATGTCAGCTCTCAAGAGCCTGACAATGAATTACACACGCTTTTAGGCACACAAGCACATGGACACACACACACACGGAGTTGTCTTATATGTGAAATTCATCATAATAATTTATACACACAAAATTATTCCAGCTACGGTGGTTAAATTGATGTTTCAGAAACCAGCTTCTTGAAATTATTAATAATGTTAGTTTATTCAGAGCACTTCTACCCAAAGTGGGGCCTGCAGGTTAAAGGTTTGATTAGGCCGGCTAGATGTTTATGGCAAAAAAAATTACAAAATAAATGTAAAACTTTGCACAGAAGTCTATCAATTAAGGTTATTTAGTACCTTGGTGCAGCTTAACAATACAGCAAAATAGGTGTTTACTTTTGGGCCGTGACCCATCATTAACTTTCAGTTTTGGTCCTAAAAGGGGAAAAGTTTGGGCGACCCTTTTTTAGAGGTTGCAGATTAGGAGGCTGTTCTAGAGCAGCAGTTCAATAGTTTGTACTAAATTTAGTATTTTATACAAATATTGTTTCATATGGGTATATTGATTATCTTCTGACATGATGGTTAACTCATACTTATAGAATAAATCTAGTTTACAGGAAGAATGTGAAACCCTCTTTACCTACCCTGTGTTACAGTACATACTTTCACACTACATGTACTTACACTGACATTAATTCACTTTTTAAAAATGTGTTTTTTAGTCGGGTTATCAGCAAGATTCAGTTCACCTGGTCCGGTGGCAAGACTATATAAGCAGGAGGCAATCAGCTGGTCGCCCTCTCTCCCTTGGCTTCCACCCTGTTTGGTTTGGTTGAATTTAGTTTGGCTTTAGCTACTTTTCTTTTTTAGTTTTGTTAAATAAATGTATTTTTAGTTATAACTTGTGTGTTCTCCCCTTCTTTGTTCATCCTTGCCATGGAACATAATCCAATGAGCATTTATATTTACTCACAAACCATAACTGGCACAAAAAGTGTTTGGTATAGAAATGTAATTTTTTAGGTGACAAGGTTGACCCTGAACAGGATAAGCTGTTTAAAGAATGAATGGATGACAAATGTTGATTGAGGAGGCGTGCCACATTTATCCAGCTGAATCTGACACAGAAAAACTTTCAAATTTTAAACACAGATTAAAAAAACAACAACTACAAAGCAGAACACTAATTATTGTAATTATAAATCAACAGTGTCAGTTTCAACGTCTCCATCATCAGTTGCAGGTGTTTTAATAGCTGCTCTCAAGCTCTGCCAGAACCTGGGGATCTGCTCGTCATCATCAGGCCACTCCAGGTACGTCCTGGAGTTCATGACTCTCCGCAGCTTACAGAACTTTTTGGGGATGGTGTCTTTGTCAATGGGCTCCAACAGAATCAACACGACTGTGTCATCATTATGGTCAAATAGTCTAAAATGGGTGTAATCGAGCTCGTACTTGCACCAGTCGCTGCTGACAAAATGCTGAGAGAGCACAAACAGAGTTCTGTGACTCTTCTCTATGGCGTCCATGATGTTGTCCAAGATCCAGCCTCCAGGAATAAAGTCTCTCTTGTGGATGCAGAGCCGGAGAGGAGGCTCAGCCTGCTCGAGCTCCGGGACCAGATGTGTTTCCACCCAAGCGGAGTCCATTTCACTGAAGGACACAAAGGCGTCATACTTGAGCTCTCCCTTTTTTAACTTTGGCTTCCTCTTAGCTCTAAGCCAGGCCCAGGTCATCTTCATGTACCACAGAACACTGAATTTGTGACACAAAACTGCAAAGAGCAGAAAAACTGCCAGGATGCCTAATAAGAGTAAACTAAAGGCTAACGCTGTGTGGCACTCAAACACCGACAACCTCGCGTCTGCCACTCTCCTTCCTCTCATGGTGTCAGGGGAGTCACAGATGTACGACTTCAACTCATCTCCAATTGTGACTCGCTGATGCGTCAGGTCACTTGTCATGAACGCTACAAAGTCACATGAACAGACATAGGTGTTAGTACCGGCCTCTAGACTCTGCAGATGATCGTAATCATTTAGACTATTCCTGCTGAACGTCTGTAAGTTGTTGTTTTGAATGAAGAGAAACGTGAGACGAGGGTATAGATGGCCATCTGGTAGAATGCTGAGCTTGTTGCCAGAGATGTATAACTCTGTGAGAAAAGGCAGGTCGATGTTGAACACGGTCA